ATTCCAAGTAATTGCCAATGAAATGATACATACTGTCTCTACTCCTTGCCCTCAGTCCTTCTTAAGTACACAGTAGGTCCTCGGGCTACATCCGAGATCCGTTCCTACCTCGCGATGTAACACGATTTTCACCGTAAGTCGGAACCCACCTACATAAGCATGTACGTCACTCACATGGAGCACATACACAGCAGTAATGAAGTGAAATAGTAAAAAAAAATTAAAACAAAGATAACAATTTCTGACCTTTACTTGTGGTAAATAAATAATAAAAAACATAAAGCACATATGTACATACGTCGAAATTGCAGAATCTTTTTTTATATATAAGTAAATGGGAGATGGCGACATAACCACGAAACAACCTAAGTCTAGTCCAATGTAACCCAAGGACTGTCTGTACTCTTAACTCTAAAGTTGTCTTTAATTCTACCTTTATTTATTTATTTATTTATTACTATTTTTTTTTTTTTATTGATTTCAGTGAGAAAGGGAAAGGGAGAGAGAGAAACATCAATGATGAGAGAGAATCATTGATCGGCTGCCTCCTGCATGCCCCACACTGGCCATGTGCCCTGACGAGGAATCAAACCCTGACCTCCTGGTTCATAGGTTGACGCTCGACTACTGAGCCACGCCGGCTGGGCTCTACCTTTATTCTTAATTCTAACTCGGACCTTGTTTGTAACTACTTTTATTCTTAACCCTGCTCTAACCTTGACCTGCTCCCTCATAAGGAGCCCTAGTGTCCTTCACCACTATTCAGGTCCCTCATCTCTACCTGTTTGTTGGGTTGGATGTGGTTTGAAAATTCCTGATGCCTCATCTATCTTCCATCCTCTTTTCAGAGCTTCACACACTGTGGCAGAATGAGGAACGGGCAGCTATTTCCTCGGGGAAACTCAATGAAATCTGGCACCGAAGACATGACTATTGGCTTCTGGCTGGCATTGTTCTGTATCCTTTGATACAAATACAAGAAAAAAAAGGTTCTTACAACCTAGAGAGAGGGGAGTTACAGGGAAGAGGAGTCCACACCCAGAGAAGGGGGCATAGTGCCACACTTCGGGGAGATCAAGCCCAGTCCATTCCTGTTAAATTCCTTGATGGTCCTCTTCCTTCATTGGCAGCCATGGCTATGCACGGTGGCAGGACATCCAGAATGATACTCAGTTTGCCATTATCAATGAGCCATTTAAAACTGAAGCCAATAAGGGGAACTTTCTGGAGATGAAAAATAAGTTTCTGGCCCGGAGATTCAAGGTGGGCATGAGGAACAAAAGGAACAGTGTTGAAGACGGGCTTGGGTGAGAGGTGGGCCCGATCTGGTTGGACTGTAGGGAAGGTTAACACCTTGAGGGTGGTGGTGATGCTTGAGGCCGAGACTGGAGTGTAAGCTTGTGTTTGTGGCTGTGGTCTGGATCGGGGTTGGTGCTAGAGTCGGTATTGGTGTGGAGTGGGGATGCCCTGGGCCAGCAGTGAGAGCAATGTGGTCTCCAGTCTGGCTTACTGTCCGCTCACCCACTGCTGGCAGACCCTGCACTAACTCCCTCTCCCGCCTCCCTCAGCTCCTGGAGCAGGCGCTGGTGATTGAGGAGCAGCTTCGGCGGGCGGCCTACCTGAACCTATCACAGGAGCCGGCGCACCCCGCCATGGCCCTCCACGCCCGCTTCGCCGAGGCCGAGTGCCTGGCTGAGAGCCACCAGCACCTCTCCAAGGAGTCGCTGGCGGGGAACAAGCCGGCCAACGCCGTACTGCACAAGGGTAAGGGCCGCGGCGGCCCCGCGCGGGGGAGGGCCCACAACGCTGCGTAAGTCTTCACCCCGCACCCCTCAAAATCTACCCACCCCTCTGACCCCTTTACCCTCTGAACCAACCCCCTCTGACCTCTAACCCCACCCCTAACCCACCTGGCTTTTAGCCACTAGAGTTTGTGCAGCCAACTCTCATCCTTGCCTAATAGCATTCACATCAGTGCTTAAGAGAGGGACTTTCTCCCCAGAACTCCATGAGACTGTGCCCCATCCCCTCCAAAGGGTAGAAGATCTTCACTGACCCACATGCTTGCCATACTGCCGATAGCACCCTCTCTGGGGCCTTGGCCTGTGTAGAGCCACAAAAATCCTTATCCGCAGTCCCACAAATCACATTCCTCAGATCTCATTCACCCCACGAGGCGGAAACTACCACCATCCCACCCTCTGACCTTCCCCATGAAACTTCCCTTTGACCTTCAACCCTTCCTCCCAAACCTTCTTACCTTGAAAATAAAATATCAAATTCCAAAGCCCTTTAACCATCTAATTCTATCTGATGTAGTAATTGACTCCTGGACCCTTTGATTCCTGTTTTAATTCCTAATGCTGACCCTCTAACCTCCCTCCCCCCTAACATATTAAAACCTTGATCCTTAAATCTTTGACACCACTTACCACCTCCCCACGCCTCCTATTTCCTCCCTATCATCCCCAACCCCAAAACTTCCTTCTTACAGTATGGGATGTTCTGACAACTCCCCGCCCCTATGTCTTCCAATGTCCTCCCCTATCCTCTTCTCCATATTCTCTTTTCCTGCTTCTCTCTCCATCTATCTCTGTGATGATCTGGTCTCTCTGCCTCTTTACCTGACACCCACTCACTGAGTCGCTCTTTTTCTGTGTACTTCTATCATTTTCTTCTTCTCTGGTTCTTTGACATCTGTGTCCTCTCACTCTCTTTTCTGACTTTATCTGTCCATCTGACTCTTCATCTCTTTTCCTGGCTCCATCTCTCCCTTTCCCTGTCTCTCTCTTGCCTTCTTTCTCCGTGGCCCGGGCCCCAGTTCTGAACCAGCTGGAGGAGTTGCTGAGCGACATGAAGGCAGACGTGACCCGCCTGCCGGCCACGCTGTCTCGAATACCCCCCATCGCAGCCCGCCTTCAGATGTCCGAGCGCAGCATCCTCAGCCGGCTGGCCAGCAAGGGCACGGAGCCTCACCCCACACCGGTAACCTCCTTTCCCTCTAATTCCATTCTCCCTGTTGATATACATACTTACATTGAATCCTATACGATATGGAAAACGACTTACTCTAGTATTCTCATCACCCTCGAGTCTCCTGTATGTTATACCCCTCAGTAGTTCTAGAATTTGGTCCTTAAAGTTTTCCCTTCAGCTTATTTCCTTTCAGACTGTGGACTCTCTAACTTGGGTTCCCTCTCTATTGCAGGTCTTTCCCCCGGGTCCCTACGCTACACCTCCGGGGTACGGGGCGGCCTTCAGCACCGCTCCCGTAGGGGCTCTGGCCGCCGGAGGCGCCAATTACAGCCAGATGCCTGCAGGGTCCTTCATCACAGGTCAGTTGACTCCCTCTCATTTCTCCTTTTCCACGCTTTTCCCTGCTCAGCTATCTTTTACTGCTCCAGCCCATCTCATTTCCTTGGAAGTACCCAGTGTTTTATGGAATGGAGTTGTTCTGGGGTTTATTCTTCCCACCCTTTTCTTAGCTTCTCTTCCACTTCCTTGCTCAAAAAACCTCATCCAGGGTTTCAGTGGTTCAGCAGCTTGCTATCTCTTACCTGAGCCTCCTCCATCTGGGCTACTTCAGGGAAAGAGAAAGTGAATGAGAAGGGGGTATAGTGAGAGTTGGAGCATGTGTTCCATCATGCGGCACAAGGGGGGACCTCAGGGAGAGGTCTTTGCTCTGGTCTTACCACCCCTACCCTGGACAATTGCAAGTGGCATGAGGTGACTTAGAAATGAGAATGTACTGCCTGGCCATTGTGGCTCAGTCGTTGAGTGTCAACCCATGAACCAGGAGGTCACGCTTGATCCCCAGTTGGGGCGAGCAGGAGGTAGCTGATCAATGATTCTCTCTCATCATTGATATTTTTTGTTTTTGGTTTTTTAAAAATATCTCTTTATTGATTTCAGAGAGGAAGGGAGAGGGAGAGAGAGACAGAAATATCAGTAATGAGAGAATCATCAGTTGGCTGCCTCCTGCACGCCCCACACTGAGGATCGGACCCCAACCCGGGCATATGCCCTAACCGAGAATCAAACCATAACTTCCTGGTTCCGAGGTTGATGCTCAACCACTGAGCCATGCTGGCCAGGCTCCTTGGTGATTTTCTAACCCTCTCTCCCTCTCCGTTCCTCTCTCTGAAATCAATTACAAAAAAGAGAGAGAGAACGAGAATATACTATTGTCAGAAAGTGATGTTTGGGAGTGAAGTAGGGATTTGACTTCCTTATCCCCTTTCCTAACAGCCGCCACCAACGGCCCTCCAGTGCTGGTGAAGAAGGAGAAGGAAATGGTGGGGGCATTAGTGTCAGACGGGCTGGATCGGAAGGAGCCCCGAGCCGGGGAGGTGATCTGTATAGACGACTGACTGGATCCCAGGCCTGCCCTTCACCCAGGCCCCGTGCCCGAGGCCGACCCCCAGCTCAGACTCTGGGGTCTGCTGCCAATCCTCCGCCTTCCCCACCCGCTGGGCCACCGCTGGGCTAGGAGCCCCTTTGCCCCTCTCTCTGACTCCTCTTTTCAAGAAGGGCCCTTTGTCTCTCTCCACTCCCACACATCTTTCCCACCATGCTTTGAAGACTGTGCTGGTGAGAAGAGGTCTGGGTGGGAATTGGTTAGCAGGGTCTTCCAAGAACCTTTATCCTCCACTGCCAAACATACACAGCTTCCCAATAAATGGTTGTGGGGAGGTAAGAGGTGGAGCCTTTATTCCTGCAGGATGAGCTCCATCTTGTGCAGAGGTGGGGGGTTAGCACTGCCTGGCCTTTAGAAACTTCCGGTGGAGGAAAGGAGCTTTGAAGAGAGGAAGGGAACTTTAGATAAGGATGACCATGAGCCCTGGCAGAGCGAAAGGGAAGAGGAGGGGTGGCTGCATGTTTCCTTCCCTTACCTCTCCTGAAATAGAGTGTGGAGCAGTTAAAGGGAGTCACTTGCTGTTCCGCCTCAGAATAAAGGCGCCATTCACTGGCTCAGTTACCTCCTGTGTACTGGCATCTTGTGTTGGGCATCTTACCCCCTCCACAGGGGCCAAGAACCACCCCTACAAAGAGAGTAATGGTTGGGCGATACCCCCTCAAGCCAAAGAGGCGCTCCCCAATCTGACCTAGGGACCCAGGTGACCTAGAAAGGGTGGGAGAGAACACAATGGGCCAGATGCTGGGGGAACCCCCAGCTCTGGGGCTCAGGTTGAGGACTTCTCCCCTTTCTCCTGAAGGCCTGAATACAGACTAAATTTGAGTGTGTGAGGCAGGGGGCCTAGTCAGGAGGCTACTTGCCTTGAGGACCAGAGAAAAATAATGGAGAGCAGGCTAGGGAGACACGGGCACGCACACCCTCTTCCCCAGGAGGGGCTGAGGAGAGTGGCAGTTTGCATGGCGAACCCTCCACTTCCTCTTCGCTGCCCCTTCACTTTCTTGCTGGCCATTCCCCAGTCTCTCTTCACACTCACTCCTGGTCTGTCCCAATCCCCTCTTCTGTATCAGGTTTATTGGTTGTACATATAAATTATACTTTCCTTTCTGTGTGCTCTGTTATTTTTGAGTGGGAGTTCTTTGACTGGGGGGAGGGATAAGGAAAGAAAGGATTTTGCTGTTTAATATGATCTATCTTTTTCTCTTTTTAAAAACCTTGTGACTACCTTTTTCATTTCTTGGATCATCAATTAAAACTCCAAGGCTTTTTCCAACCCCAATCCTAATGTGATGAGCTCAGTTTAGAGATGGAGGGTGAGCAGCAGGATACCTTACGGGCCTCAGGTTGAAATCAGAGATAGCAGGGATTCTGGACAGAAGTGTGTGAGGAGTTGCCTGCTGCGATTCAGAACTGCCTTCTATTCATCCTTTTGATCATCCTTTCCACCTCCATCCTTTCCATGCTTAGTTCCCACAAGAGTCAGTAGAGGTCACCAAAGCTCCACGGGTTCAGTTCCAAGTGTGCAGAAGTGCGTCCTTTTTTTTTTAAAGAGTTGGGGCGTGGGGGGTCAGACCTCCATAGCTTGCTAAGTATTTTAACTGCTAGGGGCGTGGGTCAGACCTCCATAGCTTGCTAAGTATTTTAACTGCTAGACACTTCTCTGACATGTATCGTTCACTACCAGGGCTGCTCAGCAGCTGAGAGAGGTCAGACACTTCGCTTTTGAAAGTTAAAAAGGAAAGATAAAATTCAACAAACATAGCTGGGAGAGGTCAGACCGTTTTTGAATGTTAAAAAATAAAAGATAAGATTCAACAAACATTTATTGAGTACATACTATATATTAACACTGTTGTTGGCACTGGAGATAAAATAGTCACAAGTCAGTCATTACTCTCATGAAGCTTACACTTTAGTAGGGACACCAACAAAACACATACTATCTGAAAATAAAAGCAGAGAACATAAAACAAGGCATTATGCTATAGAAAGTGAGGAAAGGGGCAACACCAGGTTGAATGCTGAAAAAGGCTTCCCAAAAGAGGGAACATTTAAGCTGAGACTTAAGGACAGGAAAAACCAAAATATGGTTTAAATTCACATTTTTAACTCAGGAAAATCCAACTATGCACATGAATTTAGATTTCTTCAACAGAATGTCACTTTAGAACCTTCAATAAAATAGTGTATAGTTTGTTAAATACCATTTGTGTTCTAAATATTTCACCCATAGATGGTAACATCCTAGAGCATCTAGGACCTGGGCTGATAATTAAAATGCAGGTTCTGATTCAGCAAGTGAAGTGGAATCCTGACACTTCCAACAAGCCCCCATTGACGACTATAAGATACTGATGGGATTTAAAACCTGATGCCTTTACCAAATGCCTCTTTTCTATCCTTGATAGGCCCTAATTAGGTGCCTCAGATGAATGTTCTTTGGACCTTCTGATACCTGCCCTAACAGGTTGGAGGGGGATTCTGAAACGAGGCAGGCCAGAGGCATCTGGATAATTTTAGGAATACAGTACTGGGAGTGGGGAGACTGAGCATGTCAGCACTGGGGGTGGGGGTGGGGGGCAAACCAAACAGCTTATTTAAGAGACTTATTTTATAAGTCTCTTAGTGGTAGAGAATTGAGATTAACATGACATGAAAATCAGCCTCTTTCTCTCCTGTTCCATTTTTTTTTTGAAATTTTCAAACCATTGGCACAAAATTGCTAAAATGGGACTTGTTGCTCCCACACAACCAGAGTTGCCCTGGACAAAAGCCAAGTCACAGCTAAGGAAACAATCTGTCTTCTTCCCACGGGTACATGGACTTTGTTTTTATCATCATCCCTGGGCCACTCTATCCTAAATATGTACGGCTGGCACAGTCAGCAGATGGGGGCGATTCGTCTAGGAGCCTCCCCAGCTCAGCATCAACACCTCCCAGGGCGTTCCCTCCTGCCCTCGGCTGCACTTCCTCGTCCGTGCCAGTCCTGGGATGGGAGAGGGGGTAGCCTTGGCATCAACCCCTGGTACGACAGCACGCCCCGGGAACGCAGCTCCCACCTCCCTTCGGCCTCAGCTTCCGGGCCCCGGGGCTACAGCGTGCAGCGAGTCATGTGGGCCAAGTCCTTGATCTCCGGACAGTACAGAACTGGGGGAAAGAAGGAGGGTTAGTGGCAGCGAGAAGATGCAGTCTAACCCTGGGCATCCTCTCCCCCAACCCCCGTCTCCGTAGCCTCCCCGGGTGGCCCCCTCACCGTTGCTAGGCAGCGGGCGCCGCCAGCGGCGCGC